TGCAAGTTTACCTCCAAAACCATGTCTGTACATCAGTCATCACCATCTGTGATTCATTATTATTCATTGATGGTTCTTTCCCTTCCTTCATTCACACCGACCTGCCTGGTGTGAGCAGACGTGTCTGCGCGGCAGCTTCAACAGATGGATTCGGCGTAGACCTGAAACCATAGCAACCAATGAGGATCTCTTCAGGAGCAACTTCAATCAATGCAGAAATAAATTCAACAAATCAGCCCCCTCAACCATCTGGAGACTCACAAAAGGGAAACCACCACCCCTCCCACTGTGTGACAATAGTCTTCCAGCTGTGGTGATCCGTCACAGAAATGGTAAAACATCGATTCTCTATGGATGGTTCATGTTTTACAAACCTAAAGTCATCATTCAGCTGTGTGGATATCGGTGTTTTACAGCACAACCACAATCCCATTTCATGCAGTAAAATGCTATTTCTCACATTTTTGAAGAGGTGCCCTCCAGAAAACCAGAGGTAAAGATCACTCAAGTGGGAAATACAGCATGTCTGCCTTTGAAATCGCTGTGGGCCATCAACGTCACACCATGTGTTAGTATGTTGTACTTTCAGTTGAGTAAGATCAATATCACAACATGGATTTACAAGATTCCCGCCAAGCGCTGCTGGAGAAAAATCTAAAACAATTAACTGATACCAAATATTTCCAGAGAGCCCTCCGTCTGCTGCCAGATCCAATCCTAGGAAGCCATGTCGATGTCTCCATCTGCTCATCGGTCTGTCTTTAATCTTGATGAGTATGTTTTGTTTTTGGTGACACCTTTTTCACTTTGTCTCTTACCAGCAACAGTTTCTTACATCAGAAGTTGTAATGTTTTGCTGCAAATGACACACCACAAACTTGTGCCTTGCAGCCAAAACATTGCTGAAACCCACAGTTCATTCATTCAGGTTCTAGTGGGGATCTCAGTTTCCAATAAAATGGTGAATATGTCGGCTACATTTTGGGGGGTAAAATGATGCAGAAGTTATTTCCATTTGATGTAAGGAATTAGGAAACATGGAGTCTCTGGTTTGAATATTTCACTCAGTGTAAACATCATATAGCTTCAATGAAGAGATTCAGTGAACAGGTATCAGGGTTTAGTAATGTAGAAATGGCTCAGCTAGTACATTCTCTCTGTTTTTATTAAATATATAACAAAGTAGCTGGCTAACGTCAACATTAGCTAACATTCGCCATTGGCCGGTAACACAGAACAGCTGGATGCTATCCTCATTTTAATAACGTTACATGTTACATACATAACACAACATTCTCAGATGACCAGAGTAATTCTGTCTCTTTACATATTCCATGATTGAAGCAGTCAGAAGGCAGTGTTTGTCTGTGGACTGGTTTGTGTTTATCATATTCCTCTGATGGATCCTGTAACCTCTGCCCTCCCCCTCTTCCTGGTGAATTTTAAACGTCTTCCTGTTTACCTGTGACCCTTCAACCTCTCAGGTACAGCTTTTATGTGAAGATGAATGGAACCACTTACTGTGTGTATTTAAACATTATTGCTTAAAAAGGACACTAGCTGAGCATTTTCTCTGTAATGTAGTTCTTTAATTTTAACTTCCTATAGGGAGTTAGGATGTAAACATAGATGTGAACATACTGATGCCAAGAGGGTTTTATATCCTTTGATCTTGTTGAAAACGCAATCCTCTATCTTTATTGTCTGTCCAGAGATATTTCTGGCTTTTCTTTCATGCAGCTCCAGCTCAAGTCAAGTGAAACATGAAAGGTTATTTTTGTCATTGTTCACGGGAACGCTGCTGTTGTTAAAGGTAGCCGGTTTTCAGTGGCCGTCTGGGGCCGCATCCCCCTCAACCAACTAATTGGGATCCAGGAAGACAAGGTGCATTGTGGTCTATCCAGGCTCGAGTGTGTAGCTAATTAATGCTGCCATGTTCTTCTTTATATTTAACCTTAATGTGGCTATATCATAATGTAAAGATCACTACTACTATATAATTATTTGATCATATTGAAAAAAACACTGCTTCAAGATGAATTTGGATGTTTCTTTAAATTGCCTCATGGTTCCTGCTTCCCTTCACTCTGCGTCAGATAATTGACCCCTACAGCTCTCGCAGCAGTGCATGTAGCCCTGCTCACAACTTGTTGCTCATCCAACAGGAAAAAACAAATGAAGCGGAAACAGCCGCCTCTCGCGACCTGCTCTACCTGTTTCTCTCAGTCAGAGTAGTCTCCCGGCTGATTACGACTGCTATCTACAGTACACCCCTCACCACACATCTACATCATAGTATTCTCAAACAGCTTGCCAGGTTCAACAATTCCCCGACTACTGAAATGTATTTTCTGGCCCTGCTAGTGTATAGGCCTACACTCAGGAACAACATCTCCATCTTAGTGTAATATTATAATAGTTCAAAAACTGTTTCTGTCTGTTGGTCTGAATGTGTTCAGTGTGTTAGCGGCTCTGTGAGGCTCAGTCAGTCAGTCAGTCAGTCAGTCGGCACAGAGGTGCTTGGAGCTCAATGGTAACATCAGCATGCTAACATTTTGACGCTAGGAGCATGTATAATGTTTCACATGTTTGTTTAGCTTGTTAGCCTGCTAACGTCTGTGGACATTCTCAGTTCATTTCATGGTATATTCACAAGTTTTACCTCCAATCAAAAAGCCTTCATGTGATGCTAAACATTTTTGAAATAACACGAGGGCAGCTATTAACAATTACTTTCTCTATTACTCTATTTATTTTGATCTATAAAAAGTAGTGAAAATTTAAATGTCAAACTTTCTAAGAAGCCAAGATGACATTTTCAAATGGTTTGTCTCAGTCTGAAAGATTTACATAAAAATCCGCCGGTTCGCTTTCTTGATTAAAGAAGATCTTAGATGCTTTACATTCAAAAGGTTACAAACTCACATTTTGGAGCCATTGCAGTTTCTATCCACTGAGCAGATTAAAACAAAGGATTAAAACAAAAAAATATTTTTTGTTCACATCTCTCCAACCTGCTGCCTTTTCCCCTTGTGATTTAAAAAACAACATATTTATCTGAGATCTGTGTTAAAAGAGATCAGATTAAAAGTGAAATCCATCTCCAAAGCATGAAATCCCTGTCTGCCTTTCTACAGAGCAACATGTGGCCTCCTTCACTGAGAATACTGTGAAAGCTCAGCGTTGTTTGCAGTGAGACTAGCTGGTCAAAAAATAATGAGTTGTCGTGGCTGTCGGGTCAGTCCTCCAAGCAGGCCCCACAGAGGACCATCTGGCCTCTACTGTGGAGGCTGACAGCAGCTGAAAGAGCCATGTGAGAATATGACTGATGGATCTCTGCCCACGCTATCCCAATCTGCCAGGAAAATGCCGCTCAAAGTGTGAAAAATATCCACCGACACAGTCTTTTCCTGGATCAGTGGGAAAATGGGAAACGGCCTCTTGGCTGCATGTGCTGTTTTTTAGATAAACATCTGTAAGGGATCCTGCAGGTGGGATTGCCATTAATGCTTGTGCATATACACTCTGTGTGTGTGTGTGTGTGTGTGTATTATCAAGTCACCTCAGCCTTTTTGTGTATCTCATATGTAACACTGTAATGGGAAATTATTTGTTTACAGGATACAGATAGTGAGATGTTCTTCAAAGTGCACCGGACAGCCGAGTCAAGAGAGGAAGTGTGACGCAGCCTGGGAGACAAATAGCTCGACATTTACACACAACAATCTGTGAGGCCCAAACCAAGGCAGCAGCATCAGTCTCAATCTGGAACTGTGAGCACATGCTGTCCAATGTCAATTTAAATAACATCACTCCGCACACACCAAGATGGCATGTGGGAGTGGGCATCATTTCATCAAATCCACTAATCAGCTGAAATTAAGCTATACAATTAGACTGAAAAAAAGACTGTTGTTTTCCAAGTTCAAGTATATAAAGACAACCGAAACTTGATATTTTCACACCATTGTGATGTTCAGCAAATGTGTCTCTTGCATGACCCTGATGTGAATCTGTACCATCTGATTGCAGTTACAGCAGCTGCATAGAGCGCTAGCAGGTGATGGACCTCGTAGCTCTAAAGGATGATGATGTGTCCCTGTCGACAGTCCATAATAAGTCTGCGTTGCGATGGATGTGTGATGTGTCATTGCTATTAGAGCCTGGATCTGTGTTGCACAGCTCTGGACACGCTGCAGTTTAGCTCGTGGCGGTTTGGTAGGCTGAACTAGACAAATTGCAAACCGCTGTGGGCTGCCAGACCAAATTGCTGCGTCCATTTCCGACCAACTGCCACAGAGCGAGGCATGAGACGAGCAAATTAGGCAATTTAGTTATGGGAAGATGTAAAAGAAAGAATCCGCATGAGTGAAGTATTCACTCATGCTGAAAGTGCAACTAACAAAATATCCTATTTGGTTATTGAATGCCAATACAACAATTGATTGTCACTTTATCATTAAGAGTGGGCTAATAAACAGATAACAACTGATATTCAGACATGCACCTCTCTTCGAAATTAAATATTGTCAATTTCATATAAGTAAAAAAGTACTTAATGTGTCACAGGGATAGTTTTTTATGTTTCTTTCACACACAATCATTTTGTCACGACCTTCTTTTTACATATAGAAACTGCCCACTGGTAGACAAGAAAGACATTTAGTCAGAAATTAAAATGACTATACCGAATTAAAGAATTTAAAAGTATGTCTGGTTATAATCAATCCACATTGAAATTTTGGTTTGTTAGAAATCAATAGAGCTCATGGTCAGATATTTTACGACCTACTGCCTCTCTTATTGAGCCTAGGCCAGAAAATAACATGCAGTAATGCAATTTTAAGAATTTCTTGTGTCTGAAATCTATAAATCACAAACATAATGTATGTGTTAAGTCATGTCAGTGTAAACAAAACATTGTCCTGAAAAACACATCTTTGCATTTGGACTTTCACATAAATCAGAATAAATCAGAATAAATGAGACAAACAACACGGTCTGTTTGATAAAACTGTTTATTTTAATTTCCTGTTCGCTCCATCATGTTCCACACTCTTAAACCAAAAAACTTCGGTGTCTTTCTCATCAGACATTTCCTTCTGATCGTGTTGTCAGTTTTGTGCTGGAAACTGCTGTAGTTCCAGAAACACAAAGGAGAGATTGCTTACATTAGTGGTCCCAGTTCACTGAAACAACAGGATTTAATCTACTGAATTAGATCAGCAGCACACAACACTGAGAGAGGAGAAAAAAGAACACATTTAAACACCAAAAAACCTACATATACCCACACACACACACACCCGTATACACACACACACTCACACACAAGTACAGGCGCTCAGCTATTTGGATTGAGAACAACCACACACTAACACCAGACACCAACAGACACCAAAGTAACATTACAAAAATCAAAAAATATCTCAAAATATACAATTATTATTTACAGTTCAAGTTTACACCCTGTCACTCTTACTGTAGATACTCCGTGTGAATTTATCAGAATGTACATCAATATGTACAGATTACATACATCGTCTTAAATACTATAAATATAACTATGTTTTTTTGTCACATAAAGACTATTTGCACGGTTAATTAAATACACTATTACTCTGTTTTTATTGTTTTAATCACAGTAAACCTCTAGAAGTTGCTTTAAAATACATAATGCAACATCGCTGACACATAGACAAGACAGCGAGACCCTGGAGTCTTTGTTTTCAATAAGAAATATCAAATACCAATGCTAAATGCCAATATCTTATCATTGAGCAAATCTGAACTAACATGAGAAGATATTTTTACACTGTGCAAAGTATTTCAACAGTGTTTTTAAACTTAAGAGGCAAAGACCTGCTGTGCCTGGAGAGGTGGGAACTCCTTGGTGAAATGTGACAAACTGTGCATCATGTATAAGCCAGGGGTTTAAACATGAGGATGCTGTTTCTGAGAGACTATATAAACTCTGTTGATTGTGCTCTCTCCTAACCCCTCAATTAATCATTGTGCGGATCAGCTACAGAACAAACCAATGGTGCAGTTTAGTTTATTGTGAAGATTGAAGTGCATTTAATTGTGCAGATCCTCCAGTGAGCCCCAGGAGGATGCAGGAATCAGACCAGACCTAACATGATCTGCAAGTCATATCATCAAGTTCATCCACACTGGCTCTATTTTAACTCATTGACTGGTGCTTGCTCACCAAGGCATGAAGCTCGTTTGTGCTCACTTTCCTGTGCTTCCATAATATGTGCTTCAACTCTAAGCCAAAGCTGCAGGTGAGTAGAGATGAGTGCCCTCACCTCTACTCACCTGAGGTCATGTGCCGTTTATATCGCAAGCCAATTGACCAAAAATATCTGGTTTCTTGTACATGTTAACACAGTAGTTTTTTTGCACACTCACTTTCAGTGACTGAACAGGTTATTATCCAGCTAAGGCATGTTTACATGTTCATTTATCTTGACACATTCAGGATGGAGTACAAACACTTTTCCTGTTATTTAGACTAGTCTGCAAAGATCCACTTGTTTTTCTATTGTTTCATTTTCACAGTGGTACATACTCGTAGTGATGTACTACCGCTCTTCACTCTGTAATGCAGACTTTCTCGACTTTACTTATTCTTACAAAATTTGTGACAACAGAACCTTGAAAAACATGCCAGGATATGAGAGACAGGAGGGAAAATAGATAATATAGAGGTGTTAGGGAATTAGACTGTTAATTACTTCAGTATATACCAAGCAATATATCACAGCTTCTGTAGGCTGAAACCTGAGCCATTAAAGAGGTCCCATTACCACATATCATAACAACATGGGTGTTGGTTTTACATTACATATGATAGAGAGGACCCAGCGGTGCCAGCCAATGACTTGGACGTATCTATCAATACTGGTGCGATAACAAGGCAAAATTCAACGCATCAACACGCTTTTAACATCATAAGATGAAACATTACAACTTGATAAATGCTCAAATTTTGAAGACATAAATATCTGCCGTACTGACACGCAAGAAACGACGTGAGATGTTTTTGCAAAGTGGCTTGCGATACATTTGTGTATTTGTGCCTTTTATGGATATTCAGTCCTCTATCTTTCTTTATATAAATATTGCTAACCAAAACATATTCCGTGACAGAATTTTTGAGAGTAACGACGACGCTTTTGTCAAAACTGTACTTAACAAACGACTCCAGGGTCTCTACCTAATTAAAGTGCTCAAGTGAATGAGACGAGACATTGGTCCAAACTCACTACATAATCGGGAAAACAAACTGACAAAAACATAAGGCAAACAGACAACAGGGATGCTGTTCAGGCACCAAACAATGTGACTGAGTGTGTTTCACACTACATCTGTTCAGTCTCAAGTATTGTTGTTGTCTCAGGGAGGGGCCACCAGACCGAGAGTCATTGGCTCCTCCGCACGCCAGCAGAGACACCCAGTGGTGAAATCTGTGTATTACCACTTTTTCGAAACCTTTATATCACTGCACATTTTCCCCCTAAACATACATCGTCATACGAGACTATACATTAAAAAAAGTCTTCACACCTCAGTTCACAAAAATACATCAAATTGTAAATTGTAGAGCTTATGAAATGATGTCCGTAGTGGTCATAATTTGAGGAATGTACAACAATTAAACCCAAACATCTTCCTCGTAGGTGTGACGTATGATAAAGCCAAAGCGCGGCACGGAACTGAACCTCTTATTCAATGCACTGTAACAACATTAGAGACGTATTGTTGTAGGACCTCAACAGTAAAATGTCTCATCTGTGTATTGCTGAACAACCAGCCGTGCAGGTGAAGCAGACAAAGCAAGGTGTCCGCTCTCTTCCTCCTCCTCCACATCAGAAGAGGATCTGTATCTATGGTGCGTTGCCACGGCTTCCCCTGGGAAACGCAGCTCTATTTTTAAAGCGGCAGGGTCACCAGGAGCTCTCATTCGGCGGCAGACGACACACTGACGCACACACACTTGCACGTGCACGTCTGTACGTATACAAGGACAATGCTCACATTTTCCTATTCTTTCTGCACCTGCTTCTCTAACACACAGACAACCGTGAAGCCTCTCTGCTTATCTCTGCACGTGCACTGCCCCCTCTGCCCTTTTAAGGCATCAATTCAAATGGAATCGCTTGATTAAAAGGATTGATTCAAATGGAAAAGCTTTGTCTAGACCAGCTGCGACTGGAACAGCACAGAGACGACGTGTGCAGCGCTGTTGGCAACAGCTCCAGAGCCTCGTTTGTCGAGGAGAAAGGTTGTTTCAAAGAAAAGTGCTGCTCTGTGTTAAGGCTCAGAGATGCTCTAAAACGATAGCAGGAGACTGTGCTTCGGTGTTCACTGGGAAGAAAGGAAGAGGTGAAAAGTTTCCAATAATTTGTATAGACCCAATTTACGGCGACATCTCAGACTATTGCACAACACATATGTACAGTATTCTACATCAGTGGGAACAGTGGGGATAGAAGGAGATCCACAGTTTTACGAGGACCCTACTTTGACTGGTTATTATTGCTGATGCATGAGAGGCACAATAAAGATGTAATGTGCTTGAAACACTGTTTAAACTATCAGAATCACGTATTACATACTGTTATGGATGCATTTGTAATCATTTTGTTTTCTAGATGAGACATTTTCTCACACGGTGATACAGATCACGAAAATAGTCTCCTTCCATCCTAACCCCACAAAGAACAATCTTCTACAACTGAACCAGAAAGAGATGATGATCTCCTAGATCGAGGAACATCCAACTGTCTCAAAAATAACCTTCTCCAAACTGGTGAACACATGGTTCAGCACAACGTAAAGCATTTTAGCGCTGCCCACAGCTTAACCTCGGCCATAGCTTATGACAAAACAGCCTGAATTGAAGCCCTCAGTGGACCTTTCATTGCTCCCTCTGTTCTTGTCTCTGTCCCTCTCTCTCTGCCCCTTTAATACATTGACAGATGGAAATGGTTGTCAGATCTGGTGGGACTCACATTCCCATGATCCCTTAATTTTAGCTGGGATTTGGCAGCACAGATCCTATGGCAGACAAAAGGGGGATAGAGGGACTCAGCTCTGGGGGTTAAGGTGTGAAGAACGCTGCAACAACTGGCAGTGGATTTTCTCTCCCTCTTGACTTCCTTTGTTCCTCCCTTACTTCCTGTCTCCCTCTCTCCAAGCAGGGCTGGGGTTTAACAGACGGGAGGATCTATGAGCTCAGTGGATCATAGCTCAGACTCGGGCGAGCCAATGTTCTGGTAGCCCGTCTTGGTGCTGGTGCCGTAGTTGGTGTTGGTCATCTCCTGGGTGCCGCCGGGGCCCAGGTAGGGGCGGTGGGCGGGCATCGGGGAAGGAGCCTCGCTGGGGATCTTGTTGAGGATGAAGCGCTGCTCGTCCTGCTCTTCCAGGTTGGAGATCTCCTTCATCATGCCTTTACGGTAGGAGACGGACAGCTTGTTGGAGCCATCTGAGATCAGGTTGAAGTGGCGGACGATGAAGACGAGTGGTAAAGGCAGCATTGCCAGCACGATGAGGGAGTAGGCCATGGCTAAAGCCCACGGAGGGTAGCTGTGGAAACTCTCAGCGCCCTGGCAAACAAAGAGTGCAGACAGAAGAGCATGAAGAAATGTTTATCTCCTTTCCCACTCTCCTTCTTATTATGTGTAAACACACATAAACACTGACCTCAGCCTCCACCCAGGCGTTGTATCCTGCAGGACTGATGGCCATCTCGATGACAGTGGCGACAATGAGAACCACCAGGATAGCTGGCGACACGTACCTCCACATGTAGTAATAGAAGGAGTGCGGCCTGAAACCAAGCATGTCCTCCAGGTCCTGCATGAACCTGCGAGGAAGTGAAAGAAAGAAAGAACGAGTTTGAAGGAGTTCCATCTCTGTCCCGGTTGGCCATGGCAATGATCAATGCACAATACCAGGCCCAATCCCAATGTCCCACCTAAAGCCTTAAATTTGTGATTTGTGATAGGGGGCTATATAAATAAAATTGACTTGAATTAAGGAGAGAGTGTTAAGTAGGCTGTATGGCGTATATACAGTATATACAGCCGCATATATATATAGTTTTGAAACAGATCACAAATTAATTTAACACTGCAAATGTCTACATGCTGCCTTAAAATTAATTATATCTAAATATGGCTGCGTCTACGTATCCAGTCAAGTTACCTCTTAGTGCCGTAGATCCAGGCCACAGAGATGTTCTCCAGGAACACCACCACAGTCAGAGGCAAACCAGCTGAGTAGTCGTCAAACATGGTGACAAAATAGTTCCCTGAGCGCTGCACAAACAGCAGGCCTAGCAGGAAGGCTATGATGCAACAAGCCACTGAGACAAATAAGAAGAAACATCCAGTGAGAATCACAAGCACTTCAATTGTATGTAGAAGATGTTTGAGTTTGATAACAGTCAGCTCACCACACAGGATCTCTTTGCGGATCTTGAAAGCATCTAGAATGGGTGTGGTGATGCCGGTCATGGTGCCGATCATGCTTCCCAGACCCAGGTTGATCAACATGAAGAAGAACATGACAGACCAGAAGGGACTGGCAGGGAAATGTGTCATGGCCTCTGTGAAGGCGATGAACGCCAGACCAGTGCCCTGAACCGCCTGGAGGACAAGAGAGGGAGGTGGAGGACAAAGTGAAATGCATAATGGTTCAAAATACTGCATTTTGACTGTTGAGTGGTCAATGCGTGGGTGCAATAACAGACTTGGTCGAGGAAACTGGGGCTGCAACTAACAATGATTTTTATTATCGATTATTCTGCCAATGATTTTCTCAATCTATTGATGAACTTGTTTTATATAGATTCAAAACATGGTCATTATAATTCCCCAAAGTCCAAAATGATTGATGCTTTTTTAATCTGACCAAAACATTTAATTTACAATGACAAAGAAAAACACATTTTCAAATTTTTGCTTGAAAAATTACTGAAACACTTAATTGATTGCCAAATTGATTGATTGTTTAATCTAATTTTTGCAGCTCGAGAGGAAACGGTGCTTTGCTTAGCATCCTGGTACTTTTAACCTTCCCTTTGTCTGTTGTTTTTTTAATATTAGGACAACTTGTCATGTATCATCACAAACACAAACTAAATCTTGATAGCTAAACAAGATTATTCTGAAATACTCAACAATCACGCTCCTTTCAGCTCGTGAGTTCTCCTCCTCTGACCTTGTTGAGTTCGTCCTCCAGCAAACAGGCGTCCAGGCCCAGCTGTCCGAAGCTGTCGTCCTTCACCGTCTTAATGACGCCGTACATCTCTGCGTAGTCATGGGTGGACAGGTGGGAGAAGTTGATGTGAGGAGGGATGAGCTCGTTGCTCAGCACGCCTGTGTTTAGGAAGCCCAGAATCTTCTCTGCATTACTGCACATAGAAAATAGGAGATGTGGAGAAGGAGGACGAGTTAGTGAGTAAAGGTTATTGCAAAAAAGAGAGACTGGTCAGGTAGCACTTGTTACAGTAGGACACACTCACTCAATGACACACTTCTCGTTCATGACATTCGCCTTGAACCCCAGGACAGCAAACACAACTAAAGTGGCCAAGATGGAGGTAACAAAGTTGATGGTGGAGACCAGTGCTGCATCAAAGTGGCAGTTATTGTCTCGCTTGTTGTAGCTGGAGAAAGCAATGACGCCTCCGAAGCCCAGACCGAGAGCAAAGAAGACCTGCGTGGCTGCTTCTCTCCACACCTGCGGCTCCAACATCTTTTCCAACTGGAGACAAGAGAGCAAAAATGTGATAGTCAACCTTTTTAATAACCTTGAACCTTGATGTTATATCAATCCTGTTTTATTGTGCCTCCTTTAACACTGGATTGCTCTGACATAACACATTGAAAAATATGTTTTGTACATTATTTTATACATTGTATAGATTTGTACATTCATCCTCCTGTGACTCAGAATATTTAGTATCTTTGGAACCTTTGGGGGTTTTCTCCGGGTTCCTCCCACAGTCCAAAGACATGCAGCTTATTAATTGATGAATCTAAATTGCCCATAGGTGTGAATATGAGTGTGAATGGTTGTCTGTCATTTTGTGCCCTGCGATAGTCTGGCAACCTATCCCGGCTGTACCCTGCCTTCGTCCGATGTCAACTGGGATCGGCTCCAGCCGCCCCGCGACCCTGACTAGGATAAGCGGTTACAGATAATGGATGGATGGAAACTTTGGGATTGGAAATACAATTAAATGTGATGTGGGTTTGAACAATAGTTTACACGTCTGAGTCTGTGGGAACTGAAAGTGCAACTACTACAAACAATATGTTGTCTGGTTTTATCTCCAATTCAAACTTTTTAATTAAAATAATTCCAAATGCAAAAGTAACAGAGAAATCTATATGTTTACTCTTGTTGCAATATAATGCACTGACATGTGATGCCAGCAGATAGCCCAACTACAAAATGAGTATTGCATGATGATCATATAGAGCAAATAGCAAAGTGCAGGTTAAAATGTTCCATGTAGTTATACATATGCACCACTGGAGGGGGACATCAACCCAACACGTGACTGTGGATATTAATGACGTCTATGCATGAGTGGATCTGACCATCTCATGACTGAGCAGCTTGCATAGACAAAGTGTCACTCATGTTACATATCTGTTTGACTGACAGGCAAAAAAACAACAACCCAGCAGTGAGTTTAAGACTACAGCAACCTCAGCAAATTTCTACATATTGTATTATTTATATTGTGAAAATCCCTATTCTGACGAGGCAACCCTGTTTTACAGTTGCCAATTTATTGGGGTTTTTTTCATCTCACCTTAGGGGTGAACATGTGAGCGATGCCGTCCACCGCTCCCTTCAGCATCAAACCTCGCACCAGGAAACAGAAAAGCACCAAATACGGGAAGAGAGAGCTGAAGTACATCACCTGAGAGAGAGAGAGAGAGAGAGAGAGAGAGAGAGAGAGAGAGAGAGAGAGAGAGAGAGAGAGAGAGAGAGAGAGAGAGAGAGAGAGAGAGAGAGAGAGTGAGAGAGAGAGAGAGAGAGAGAGAGAGAGAGAGAGAGAGAGAGAG